ACTCACTCGACAGAACGTCACTCATAGGAGGCTGGTCTCGGCTTGTCCTCGGCGTGGGGGTCCTGTCCGGTCTTGCGTGGCCCCCTTGCAGGTTTGATAACGAATGCAGGGCGATAAACTCGGGTGAGTGCTCTGGTCTCATAGCCTTGCCCTGCAATGAGAACTAATGCTGTGAACTTGAAGTTGCATTTTAAATAAATGTTTGAGCCCAGCCCGGGGTCTCTCTCCCCCAGAGGGGTCAGTGAGAGCGTGCCGTCATCTGTCCCCGGGTGGACTGCGGTCGCCTTTCTAGGCACAGGTGACACTTCCAAATGAGGAGCACGGCTCCAGGCTGAGGCCCCGCGGGGTCACTTTCTGGTCTGGGGGCGGGAGGGTGTGGGAGCACGGGCTTCCCTTCCCAAGGGCTCGGACCAGCAGCGCACAGGACTGACAGGCTTCCACAAAACCGTGAATCCGAGCCGAGGGGCTTCAGGCCCCGTCAGCTCGTCTCCTGACCCCGGCCAGAGCACTGCTAAATCAGGCACTGTCTGCATTGTTTTCCTCTGTTCTAAAAAGAAGCTCAGTTTTCCTTAGACGTTTTAATTTTGAAGTCGCAGTACAGAGAATGGACAGCGTATAGGATTTCTATTAATAATTTACAAAGGATAATCAACCTCAGGGACCAGTTCTAAAGGTCGTGTGGTGATTCCCCGGAGATTTCTGCATCTCTTGGCTCCTGCCTGCCTCTCTGGGGACACCTGCCGGGTCCTGTGACTGTGCAGCAGGTGGGGGAGGAGGCCGAGAGGCCGTGGCAGGCGTGAGAGCTCGTGGCTCAGGTCCTCAGTGACGTGGAGGGACGGCACGTGGTGCGGGGCAGAATCAGCCCTGCGGTGCTGAAGACATGCGGGTTCCGAGCCCCTTCCTCAGGCAGCGGGATGGCGTGTCCCCTCCTGGTGGGCGTGCCCATCAGACTGGGGCGTGTCGCACTAAAACCACTTGTGAGTGATCTCGGGCTCTGTCACAAGCCGGTGGATCGGCGCTTCTTGTGTCAACTTAAGGGAAGCAGCCGAGGGGGCGTTTGCCTGCGGCGGGTGTGCAGCCTGGCTCTCCCAGCCCTGCCTGGCGGACTCCGGATTCCATCAGACACCTCAGTGAGCCTCAGAGTACCTGAGACCCGCACACAGCTGTCATCGCTCCGGCTCCACAGTCCCCGATTGCGTGGCCTTGTGCCGTGGCCCAGGCACTGTTCCCACCCAGCCTCAGGTCCAGAAGACGAGGTAGGAGTGGCAGATGGAGAAGAGGCCCCCTGTGCCCACTCCTGCGCAGGGTGGAGCTCGGACCCCAGCCTCGCGGAAGGTGGCAGGCAGACCCCTGTGGACGAGCGAGCTGTGGGCTGAGGGGACTGCCTCCAGTCGGCCCAGGAAAGCTCGGCCACGAGCCAGGCTGCCTCAGCAGGGAGATGCCAGCTGCAGGTGCGCAGTTCTCCGCCACGTTCACAGCCCATCAGTGCAGGTGGGCTCCAGCCCGCACGCACACAAGAGGCCACGTCCCCGTCGGCAGGGCCTCCAGCCAGACTTGCACCTCCAGACAGTGTGGCAGCACGGCGGAGTCACACTGCCAGGAGCGGTCAGATTGCAGATGGGGGCTGGGTCTCAGCGGTGCTGCCAGCGGGGTGACACGGAGCCACGTCCCCCTGCTCACCCCCCGTGGCTCCACCCCCGGGAAGTTCTTCTCTGGCCTCAGCGGTGACCCAGCCTCAGCTCTCTGGTTCCCGCCTGCGGCTCCCCACCCACCTGGGCTCCCGTCCTAACACCCAGCAGATGTCCTTACGCCTCCTTGTCACCGTTCAGCTCTGTCTGGACTGTGAGCGCCGGCAGGTCGGGCCCCCCACCTCGGTCTCATTCACCCCAGCATTCCTGGGTCCAGCGTAGTGTCGGACATGCTAATAACTGGACGGTGCGTGGATTCACGGTGGTAGGAGGTCGTCACCTGGGGTGTGCAGGCTCAGCTCTGAAGGCTCCTTCTGAGCACATGGTGTGATCCAGTCCTCCGGGGAGCCATGCAGTTGCTGCGGGTTCCTGTCTGAGGCACAGAGAGGATAGGTGGTTCGCCCGGGGCCACACAGCCCTGGCTGCTGCAGCCAGCTCTAGGAATCCAGCGTCTTGACTCCAGGGTGTGAGTAGGTGTGAGTCTCCTGGAAGCCGGGCGAGAACCCAGGTCACAGAGACGGGACGGTTCTCACCACAGCTCCTCTGGGGGAGCAGGTGTTCCCTGATTCTGGGACCCAGGAGGACTCTCCACCACACAGCCTTGGGGACTTGTCATGCATGTCATGGGGCGCAGGACCTCAAGGGCCCGGAATGCCGCCTCGGCGGGTGACCCAGGAGCTCAGCTGCACGGCAGCTGCTGCATCTCGGGTGTGTCACCTCCCTCCGTCCACTGGCACCAGGTCGGGCCCTCGCACGGGCAGTGGCTTCAAGCCCGGGGTTCCCACCACCGGCCTGACCCTCCTGCAGGGAGACCCGGGCTTCGCCACCTCGCACGGTCCTGCCCCCTCGTTGTTTATTTCCTGGGAACCTGTCAGCAGTCAGTTCAGAGTCAAGTGCCCACCTTAGCAGACGCACCCACTGTCACCAGTAGGTGAGAGCGTGCAGTGAGAGAGGCCTGACCCCCCGGGGTTCCCCGCACGTGGTGGGTCTGCCAGCTCGGGAACCACCCCCCACGGAGACCCGTCCCCAGCGGCTCCCAGCCTCCGGCTCCCTCTCCCCAGTCAAGGCGCCCAGGGCTGGGTTTCCCTTGCTGTTGGGGGGTGGGGGGAACTGATTTTTCTTGGATCTTCACTGCAGCTTCCTTCTTTTTAAAACACTTTTATTTAAAAAAAAAAAATGAAGACCCACAGGGAGAATCAGGGCTCTGTAGCACCGGGTAGGGTGCGGGGCCTGGGTCCAGCCCTGGTGGGACCAGCGGGCGCCGATGTGGCCTTGGCTGCGCCTCTGAACCGGCACTGATCACCTGTCAGATGAGGAGGTTTGAGTCGGCCAGCTCTGAAATCCTGCGTCTCCTCTAGAAACATCTCTGAACTCGCCAAGCTGCCGAGACTCGGTTCTGGTTCAGAGAACTGTCTTCCTTTCGTCGCTGCGGCTCCTCCGCTGTTGCTCTGGGCAACGAAGGGGACGGGGCAGCAGGCACCGTGCTGGGAGCTCCACCTGCACAGATCCTTTCCTTCTTCTGTACCGTTTTGTTACTTCCTCTTCTCAGTGGGAACACGCAGGCTCGGGGACCTGGAGTGGCTCGCCCAAGTTCTCACAGAGCCTGGCCTCCCCCGGGGAGCCAGGAAGGCCGCATGCAGGCTGGGCGGTCACCAGCAGCTTCACAGGCAGCCGCCGGGCGGGCCTGGTGCTTCATTTCTCGGGGAGGAGACCTCGCACCTCAGATCCTCTTCCCCGAGGAGCCCTCTCTCGGCGGACGTGCTCTGAGCTCCCTTGGCCTCAGCTCCGTCAGACCTGTCCTGGGTGAGCTGTGTTGAACCGTAGACGTTACTGCAGAAACGTTTTTGGTGTGTTTCCCCCATTCGAGCAACGTCCCGTGTGCCTTAGTGGGAAGTGAGAGGTGGACTTGGCTCCTTGTGTCTGGGGCTCTGTATTTTTGAGATTCTGGGAAAACATGGGTGGATTTTTCAAACAAATTTGTTGTTTAGAAACCACGTGTAATTCTGAGCGCTGGATGAGGTGGGGCAGGGAGGGGGA